TGACAGTGAATGGCATTCTGGCTGCACATAAAAAAAAAAATTAAAATTAACAGTTTCCATTTATTATTTTTTTTCTTTCCACTTGTTTTCAGCCTACCACTGTTGACCATAAGTCACAGGCAGTGGAACCTCTCCAGAAACATTTATGGTGGAGTGTTATCTCCCCTGCAGCCAGGCTCTGGCTCTCCTTCATAAGTCTGACTCTTAAGTGGCCAAAAGCGTTGGGAGTAACATATGTGCGTTCGGTTTTAGGGTGGATTTTCACTTCATAGTGGGGTATTAGAGTAGAATAAACCTTATGCATCATTTGGGAACACCTGTTTACGAGATGGCAGACAGCAACGCTCGTACATCTGTCGCCAACGCATTCCTGTCCGTGTCGATGAAAGTTTAGGGGGAAAGTCGGGTGACGAATGCGTCCTTTCCTTAGATTATTGGAAGGTGCAAAAGTGTGACGTTAGCGCTGCTCTCCTGTGTGAGGCACAGAAATGGATGATGAATGGCTAAATCCCTCGGCTGGCTTGTTTAATTATCTCCGCTTCAGTCACACAAAACCCCCTCGAACCACGGCTTATTTACATTATAAATCTGAGCACTTGTAAATGCGGCTGTCGATTTGTATGTCCTTTGTTGTCAAGGCACCCCAGGATGAAACAAATGTCTTTGGTTTCAAAGTCAACAGTGTGATTCAGCTATCTGTGATTACGCGGCTCGATGCGGCTCCGCAGTCGGCACAAGGCAACGCTTTGGAGAAAGAGCAGATTGCGTGGCAGCTGCTGTGCTTTCTTAGGCACAGTTATTGATAACCTGTCAGTGCGCTCAGCACAGAGCAGTACAGCTTGACTCCGGCGTTGCCTTCGCCAAGAAAATAAGACATAAAACCTGCATGTATGGGTGAGATTAAGCCTGTCACCTGGCTGAAATATGAACTTGTTTTATCAGCTTGCAGGCAGCACCGGACTGATCAGGAAGAAGGGTTCAGTTTTCAGGATTTGGCTCCAGGACGTGTGGGAGTACAGGGCGAAACAAATTTACTGTTATCTTTGTCAACCGAACTGTGACACTCGAGATCTGCGTCTTGAAGTTACAGTTAAGATTTCTTAAAGCGAGATTCTGCTGAAACAAGAATTTATTTTCTTACTCGCAGAAGAGAACCTTCTTGGTTTCTGTCAGTATAAATCGGAGATTGCAACAAATTCTTTTTTTTTTTTCACCCAAAGTCCACATCCAGCACCAAGCAGGGGCCGACAATACAACAATATTCGACTCTGAGTCACTAGAATGTGCTGGCAATTAGCCAAAGAGGAGAGATTGTATCATCTGTAAAGCAGACTTCTGTGCTTTTTCGTATAGAAATCATCTTCGTGTTCCTCTTTTCCCCTCAACTTAATAGACCCAATGTGGTAGGGTCAAAGGTCATTGGTTGTAGACAATTATATGGCAGGTGGCAGCTACCTAGGAAAAGCTAGTGAAGAGCGAGGCAGCTAAGCGTCTAATAGCGAAAGCTAGCAGCTAGCGATGCTGATTGAAGTTTTAACCCAAAACTATGGTGGCAGCTTAAGACAACTGCCACCATAGCCAGTGAAACGGAGTACGTGAGGAAGTGCGCCAACAATCTTCTGCGTGTGTGTGCCTGACAAAATAAAGTGGTGTAAAAAGAGACTTATAAAATGCCAATTTATTATTGTGGATATACGTGGCTGTTTAAGAGGTCTGTTTCAGTGCTGGCCGATCACAAAGTAGCTGTTAGCTTCAGCGACCAGGTTCAGCTGATTCATGCTAAATGAAGGCTGTCATCTCCCGCTGGTGAGATATAAACTGCTCGTAAACATGTTCCGGGACCTCGCTTTGAAGATCTCAAACTATCCCTTTGAGGAATGAAAAGGAACACAAAAAAAAAGCTGAACAGAATTAACTTCCAACAACATTGACATTGCATTTTGTCACTTGGCTTTTACCAAAACACTTATGAACCAATCTGTACATGAATCAGGCGTGCGTTAAAAAAAAAAAAAAATCCTTGACAGTGGCAGTATCGGCTGCATGTTTTGGCAGTCACTAATGCCTGCGTTTGCTCTGCGATGTAGCGAGCTGCGGGGTCGTGACCCCTCCCTCTTGCGGTAAACGAAAGCAGATGTCGGATGAAGGCAGGAGAAGGGGAACGCCCCGGCGTTGGGCTGCTCCACGGCGAGAGGCCGGGCGGTGTGGCGGACGAGCGTCGAGAAAAGTCGCGGCGCTGAAGCAGGTCCTATTCTGTTCTTGACGTGCACGGCCGTGGCCGGAGGAGAGCGAATTGAAACCACCTGAGCGGGATGATAAACAATTGGAGAGACGAACAGAGCGTGATCAGGCGGAGCGGGAACATTTCATACTTGTGTGTCAGATCCAGGATCAGACCAGGAGACCCTCCAGATAACGGCGAGGAGGAAAAGCACACGCAGACAAAAGAGACGAAAGGAACGGACGCGAGCAGACCAACAGACGCAGAGGAGGCTCGTGTTTATGACCTAGAGTCCCACCTAGGCCACTACTGCGCACACACACACGCACGCACACGGACACAGCGGGGTGAATCACACACACATGCCGTGGACCACACACTGCCTAGCAGATCTGTTTAAAAGCCAGGAGCTGTGTTTATCTTTCCCTACATCCTGCTCGCAGAAATATTTGCGAGAAAGCAGCGTTGTTTTGTATGAGTGTGTGTGCGAGTGTTTTTTTTTTTATGCATATGTGGACATGCATAATACCGATTGGGTTCACAGGAACCTGGGTCAGGGCAGTGCATAGATAGTTTGGAGGTCAGGTGCTCAAGTGGGGTCGTTGTTGCTCATGTAGATTTTTCCTGCACAACTTCCAACATCTCACAGCAAAATTTACATGCACAAAAAAATACACACCTTTGTCTTTGATTTTATCTTTCATTTAAAAAAATAGATAGTCTCAATAAACTGATGTGAATGATTTGATGAATTTTAAACAGAATATATGACGTCTACGTCGTACCCGCAGGCCAGGGCACTGGTCGGCTTATAAGCTTTTAATTCCAGAGATGCCACCTTGAGCCACACACTACAATGTTTTAAAAAAATTATTCAATAAAGATTTTCAAATGGCTCCCCCCCCCCCCCAAAAAAGCGAAAAGGTCAGGTGCTCTAGCACCACCTAGTGACTGTCTGTACAGCTGATTTGGCTCAGAGTCAGAGCTTAGATATTTTTAGAAAATTCGGTTTTAGAATCTGCCTTCTGAGTACATTTTTAACTATATAATTTAGACATATTGTATATTCAATACACATCATCTTGTTTGCTAAATAACTCTTTAATCAAGCTCTAAAACCTTTTCTGATGCCAAACAGCTTCACCTCAATGAGTACAGACTTCACCTGGACTGAATGTTGTGATGTATATGTTTAGCCTGGATATGTCACAGATTTTCGTTATTGCAATATCAAAAGAATTTAGAGCGATTCGTGAACCATTGCATCATGTTATACGACACCCTGCGATTGCAGACAGGCTCAAGTTCTTAACTTTCATTGTTGCGTTTAATGAATCCGATCGGTTCAAGCCAAGTGCGCTCGTAATGTGGCTTTTATTTACCAGCTAAATGTAATGAGTTGCTGCAACCTTAAAAGCGGTGCCAAGTAGAGGGAGAAGAAGGAAAAGAAAACAGTTGGAGCATTAATTCAGGAACGGGCTGAAATATTTTGCTCCTGCTGTTGGCCCTGAAGAAGAGGACACCTTTAACACAAGATGTATTTTTTGCATCCAGCTGGTCTCTGAAGTTAGAACGCCAATCTGGAAATGATATCACCCACCGCTTGAGCCATGCTACAGCTTTCAAAAGTAAAATGGTAAAAAAAAAAACGAATCTATACAATACAGTACCGTGGTTTTTACCGTCACTACATTCACTGTGAAATCCAGTGTGGCTGCCTTCATTTTGCTCCAATTGGATTTTCCAATTTGGAAAATTGGAAACATTGAAAACCTGGGAACTCTGGCCTCATTTTAGCTTTAAACTCAGATGCCCGTAAAAAACAAACAAACAAACAAAAGAAGCACTTTGTCAAGTTCTCTAGTCAAGATCCGGCGGACACCATTTTAGATAAAACCAGCATATCCTCCCTGAAAAGACAGAAAAGACAGTTCTAATTCTATAGAAAACATCATCAGAAGTTTGAAAGAGCACATTTAGGAAGAGCATATTTATTTGTAACTTTTAGCATCCATGCCATGTTTCCTCCGAATGAAAGTAATATTTCAGAAATATTTTTGAAATGACCCAGTCAGCTTTCTTGAAGAAAAAAACCTAAAGATTAGGGTGACGGCAAAGAGGGTTATCAGAAGCAACTTTAGTTGAATGAAAACAAACCTAAATCTCCCAGGGGTTTGAATGTTTCTTGACTTATGCTGTCAAATTGTACAGTCAGGACTCCGCATGCAACAAATGCCGTTGTCTCTTGCCAAACTCGCCACATTGGTTTTTTTGTTTTTTTTTTGGACTATTAGGAAATAAACGCAAGCAGCCATGACTAAGAAGTAGCAATAGCATACTTGTCTACCCAAAACATCTACGGGTAGACATGGCATGAATGGACGCCAACCTTCTTAATCACATTGACAAGCCGACTCAGAAAAGAGGCTGGTGACTATCTGCAGCATATTTAAGCTGCAATGAATGGTCGTCGGCAGCTGAGTGGCAAAATGAATGGCTTTCCATCTGTTTTCATTCTGGTTATCAGTGGTGTGCACAGTACACTGTGGAGTTCAGTCAGGGATTGAAAATATTCATGAGGGATTTATTTGAAATTGACTCATAAAGTTGCTTTTTTTTTCTTTTTCTTTTCTTTTCTTGATGTGCACGTCCCTCTGAGGAGACGCCTGCAGGTTGATTAAACACGAGCTGTTCTGAAACGACTTCTTCTTCTTTTTGATTTTTGCTCTGTCCCTCACTTCTCTTTCCCTCTTTCCTGTGCTCCTTCTCCTTTCATCAGTGCTACAGTTAAGACTTCAGCAGAGGAGGACACGAGAGCAGCTGGCAGACCAGGGCATCATGCCTCGTGAGTAACGTTTTCCGACTCTGAGTTGCCTCGCACTCATGAACACATGTACACACACCTTTCTGCCCCCATGCTTCTTCTAACCCTAACCCTAACCCTTGTCTCTAAATAGTAACGGAGAAAGAAGGGATAACCGTGGGGAACCTTTGCCCCATACTTAACCTCAGCGACACTTCACAGGTCATTCTGATGTATTCCTTACCAGAAGGCACAAATAGTCTCTATAGTGTGTTCTGGGTTGCCTCTCCTCTTAGTAAGATGTGCCTGGAAAACCCCCAAAGCGAGGCATGCAGTTTGCATCCTGATCAGACATTTCAAGACATGGCTGATGGAGCTCCAGACCTTAACTCTAAGACAGAGTCTGGTCTGAGTTTAATCTCAGCCGTTTTGTAAGACCTTGTTCCTTCAGTTACAACCCATACCTCATGATCATAAGGGTAAGGATTGGTAGGTAGGTAGGTGATGTCCCAGGAAGGAGATGCTGTGATTGACATGCGTCTTCAGTCTCACATGAAGCACCAGGACATCTTTGAAGTGGCAGACTGCAGTGGTGGTCTAGATAAAACTGTCCACAGATATTTCTCCAATTTCCAATATAGAGGATGTTCACTGACAAATCAAGCTCCTCAGCTTTTCTTGTAAAGTTTACTCAATACTGCTTGGAACCTGACTGTTTAACCTTTGATTCTGGGTTATCGGTTTGGCTTTCAGCCGAAAGTTGAGGACCTAGGATGACCTTTATCTTCATGGAATTGGTTTGGAGTTTAGTTGGCAACATGTACTTTTTAAACAAGCATTTGCTTCCATCGGTGTCTCCAAGCCAAAATCTCCTGTGAATATTGTGGCATATGCACCCGAGTGTGGAACAGCCCTGATGACGGTCAAAATCAAAGCCAAAACTTTTAAGTTCTTGATTGGATGGTGTGCTCTCTTTGTATTTATGCTGAGGCAATTTAAGTTTTGATCATCCATTGAATTACGCTACAGAAAGCAGCTGATCTGAAAGCTGATCTCAAGTGATTCAGACCAACACTAAAAGTAAGCCAACTTGTGAATTAGATTTGGCCAAGTGATGCATGCTGGTGGCCAGGTACTTGTGTTGCTAATGAGTATACAACTGCGTGACCCTTAAAACCTCTGGAATTTCCAAGTCAGGATAATCGTATACCTCAAATCTTTGGTATACATTGAAACTTAAAACTAGGCAAGTAGCATGAGTCTCAGCGAAGCTGATGTTGTCAAAAGACATTCACCGTAGAATTAGGGGAGGTAAGCGACGTCCATGTTCATTTTCAGAATAACTGGTGCATTTAAGCAAAACTTATCAGGTGACAGGACTATTGATTGGCTACAGACAAAGCAGGTGGATGTATTGATTGTGACAGGCAGCAAGCAGGCAGGTCAGTGAGTGACCGCTGAGGAATGATCTCGTGATGGAAGAATCTCTCTGCCTCAGAAGAGGCCGCAACCCTTAGGGGCTCAGCGCAGAGAGCGAACCTGTTTACAGGGCCGCGCTCCATCAAAGAGAAGGCACGCCCGAGCATGACAACGTGCAGAGAGAGCTGCCATTTACAAGGCGGAGGCTTTGTTCTTTTAATGTCACATAAGTCCCAGCTATGATGACATGCAGGCCTGCGTGCTCCGAGTATTCTCCTAAATCCTCGCAGTTCCTGCGATTTATGGGGCCTCGTAATCCTCAGATCAGTGAGACACTGCAGTGTTTGCAGGTATTCTGTTTAGTTTTGACTGCCAGCAACCAGGCGAAAGAAAACGTGGATTTTTCTTCAATATTCATGAGAAAGTAGGCCGAGAACTTGACGCAGATTCCAAGCCTCTAGAGCTGTCTCACATTTTGTCGCGACTTGAACTTCATGGTACTTTTTCGAGCTGATGTAAAGAAGCATTTTATTTGTCGATGTTACCCAGAAGCAACATAATCTTGTATTCACAAACATGGCAGCGGCATTAGACTTTTCTTTCCTCCCGTACAGAATCAACAAGGTGACCGGGGGACATGGGTAGCAGACCAGGGATTTGTTGAATGATATCTCTGGCACCGTTTGCCATTTCACAGAGGCTCCAACCTCCAGATAAAGCCCCAGTAAGTGTGCGGGGGAACGGAATCCAGAGGTCCGGCTAAGCCCTATCAGTTTCTAGGAGTCTGTCACAGATAAGGCAACAAGGGGAAACGCAATTGGTCGACGGGAACCCGAGCTCTCTTTTAAAAAAGAAATTTCAATTGGCCGTTTATCTCTCCCAGTTGCAGGGAATTGAGTTGGCGCTGTTTGTTTGTACTTTCCCTTCACCCAGGCCATAGATTCCTTATCGCCCATTCCTACAGAATCCTGTCAACGGCACCGAAAGTCAGACGTTTCGCAAGGCGACGGTGGTACGGTCCTCCTCCTGTTGCCGCTTCTGTAGATGTGAATCTTCAAACGGCTGGCTGCCTCGGACTCGCTGTGTTATTCCTGCTGGGGAAGATGGACACGGCACAGGGTCTGTGTATACATTACCCAGGGAACATCTGGTGTTTATTACACTATTCAAGAATCCACCCCAGCCTCTCAGGCCTGACCGGCGTGTGGCCTGCATGGAAGCACACCGTCTCCACACACACATCCAATCTAATATTTCCTCATAAAGATAATAGAGCCGTAGCTGGCTGCAGGTTTACGGTGCTTTTTCCTGCTTGAGCTTTAAGATCCTCGTCTCCACGGCGGGGGATGCTTTAAACCTGGATGGAGACGCTATTCGCCCACCCAGCTTCCCTCTGACGGTCACTCAGCAGGCGTACGGTGCTGTGGAAACGTATCGGCCCCCCTCGCAGATTTCTAATGCTGTTGCTTTTTGTTTGTCACGACTACAGCTTTCAGATCACCAAAAACATGAATGAATTGCTACGGGAAAACCAGACACTTCTGGTAAACAGCGAGATCTTCTAGAGGAATTTAGATCCGCTCTTTGTCACAGAAATATTTCAACTCATTTAAGGGCTTTCTAGAATCAACTGCCTGCTAAACGCCGTGCCACAACATCTCAGTCAAATTTAATGAAAGACTTTGACTACACCTCTCCAGCCTCTTCTTTTTCCTTTCGGGATCAGTTTCTGAGGCGGACTTGTTCATGTGCTTTGGGTTTTCTAAGCTTAAGGTCACAAAATGACGATTGTTAATCATTTTTTATCCACTGTTTCACTTACTAATACCATAAGCAGTAGCGTTCACATTCTTTTGATCAATTATTTGGTCGCCAATGCCAACTGCAGGCTTTGTTCTGTGTTAACCGTTCAACCTTCACAGCATTCAGCAGATGTGTGTCATAACTTCCTGTATTTATATTATATGTTTTTAGTACATTGGTGGGAGTGTCAAAATCATTCAAACTCTATTAGGGCCACTTACTTTCTACTAAAAAAGAATATTTAAACAGTTTGAATAGCAGATTGCTGCTTAATAGCTCAGCTTTTTAATATATTTTTTACCGTTTTGAAGATGCCTCCACACTTCCCACAAGTCAATGAGTTCAACGTCTTACAATAGGAGAACCTCATCAAACCCTATGAGACACCAACTGTCTCATAGTCTGTCGGAAGGTCCCCACATTTTAAGGAATATCCTGCTATTCCGGGACTTGAGTTCATCTTGCAAAGCAACTTGAATTCTTATTTCTTCGTAATTTCTTCAGGCTTCTAGTCAGATTTCACATGTTTGAATGCTGCTGCAGTGGCGCAGCAGGTAGCACTTGTTGCCCTGCAGCAAGAAGGTTCGATTCCCGGCCCCGGGTCTCTCTACGTGGAGTTTGCGTGTTCTCCCTGTGCGTGGTGGGGTCTGTTCAGCTTCCTCCCACCGTCCCACCAGCATCTCCTCCCGACCTCATTATGGACAAGGGTGTTAGAAAAAAAAAAGCTGCTGCTAATTTCTGCAAATTAAACTTGCAGTACTGTTTCATTTGAGCTTATGTTTTATAGGAAATTTGTTGTTTTCCCTTATTTCATAATTTAAACTGAATTCTAAATTGTTTTGAATTGTATAGCTTTTTCTTAATCCTTTCACTAATTATTCCTCAGTATAGTAATCCTTTGCATTGTTTCCCTTTTCCCCAATTCATTTATGTTTATATTTGTCCACTTCTGTGTTGTCTCTGCTTCTTTCAGATCATCTATGCATCTTTTTACAATTTTCTCCATTTATTTATTTTAAATCGATACTTCTACCAAAATGGTGTCCCGACATATTATTGTTTTCCATCAGACAATGATGAGCGTTTCCTTCTGGTTTTAGATTTGAAATAAATCTCCATGTTGCTGTTGGTTTGCCAAGCGTCTGATTCATTTCTGTCATTTTCTAGCATTATATTTGTAGAAGGCAATGCAAAGCAGGTTTTATTGCATATCTCCTGTTTGTATGAGTCCCTAGATAACTACGAGGAATTTGGGGTTGGGGAGCTTTCACAGTGGAGTTACTTTATATCTGTAATGACTTTGTCGCAGAAATTCATTCATGTATTCGATGTTTTGAAGTTGGCCATACACTGAATTGGTAATCAAGGTCATGTTCCTGTTAAAATATAGTTCTGACTCCATAGCCATATCACCGCTTCCCTGAAGTTTTTAGCTTAAATTTTCATTGCAGAAACCAATAAAATCTGTTTCTACAGCACAGAGCTGGAGGAAGACGCGATGAAGAACCTGGTGTAATTTGCAAACCTGGATTGAATATCACATTCCTTGCAAATTTGGTGCCACATAAATACACCAAATGTGATTTAAATGGTCGTGTGGTGAAACAAAAATATGTGGTGCCGTGTCATCTACATCCATACGACACAAAATGTGTCACTCTATGATCACAGTATGTGGTGATACTGTATTATCTGCATGTAGAGATGGTGGTTTACCAGACTGTACCCTGACAGCAGTATGGTAAAAAGGAAGTTGTCCTAAAGTGGAGCTTTGAGGAACCTCAACCTCAAGCCTAGTACACCAAACACCAGTCAGTAGCCAAGATAATTTAGTCCTAAGTCACAAATCTTGTATGACTTAGGGGGTTAAATACAGCGTTTGTTTATTTACAAGTGAGAATAAACAACCTCTTATTCAATCTCCATAGAACACTGGGAACTTCAGCTGATGTTGCTAACTTTATTTGATACTTTTATTAATATAGCACAGAGACAGCATTGTAGTGAAGTAGTCAACAAAATTAGCATTGGTTTTCTAACAAATCTCCAGTTAGACTGAGGTTGAATGCTTTGAAAAAAAAAAAAAAAAAGATATTAGTTGCTGGAACCCAGATGTGGTGACTTCACACTCCACTCTCTGGAAACAACCATACACCAACGCTTAGAGAAACAAGCGTCCCGTGGAGAAAAGCCTGGAGTCTTGATCTCCTGGAAATTGTTAATGTCTGATCTGAGTGAGACATAAAGTACAATATTTGCTTTATCCAAAGTTTAATAATTATTATCACATGCCATTCTTATTTTAGAGGAATTTTTTTTCTTCTTACTTTCAAATAAAGTGCTTCATACCTGATGAAGTTTTCATTACGCAGTAATATTCCACCTTAGATGTCCAGAAGCTTCATGTCTTTCATTTCTTCTTGGCCCACAATCCTGTCTCATCCCTCTGAAATCTCCAACTAAAATCGCATTTGACCAAATAAGTGCGTTTGTTCTTTTACGCGCTCAGATAATCAAACTGATTTAGTTTCTCAGCTCTCTGCTGGATAATCACTCGGCCCGGTGAATGCCGTAGATAGAACGGAGGCCATGCCAGGTTCTCGCTGGCCCGGATTATTTACCTTGGACGTAACAGAGAGAGAGAGAGAGAGAGAGAGGAGTCTGTGGAAGGTTAAGAATCTCACCAACCTCAACCCTTTAATTACCATCCCTCCATTTATTTTCCTACCACTCAAAGTGTTTGAAGGACCCACATTATGACTGACCCGGCACAGGAATATTGATTGTTGGGAAGAATCAAAGGAATGGACGTGTGGAGTTTGCAGGTTGCTGTGTGTGTCAGCATATGAGTCACTGTTTGTGACGCCAGCGTTGGGCAGCTTTCAAGTTCATCTCCTTTTGGTCGGACCAATGGCGTACTGCTGTCGGTCTACAGACTACAAGATAGATGCAGGTTTTAGAAGCTCATTAGATTTATTTTCCTTTGATTCTGTATTAGATGAGTGACATAATCTGTTGTAGCTATTGGGCCAAATACTCAAAAGATTTACCCAGTCGTGCATCCTTTATTGGTTTTACCCATTGCTGTTTTCTTCCCTATTTTTAGGAAAGAGAAAACGTATTTCCGGTTCAGATTAAGTCTTCAATATTTGCATATTCACCAATAGATATTAGTTTCTGTATTTGTGCCAAGATGGCTTCCACTTGTTCATTAATTCACATTAGGGTATAAGGTAAGGTATGTTAAAGTAGGCAGTCAAAGGGAAATGACATCATTTGTAAATTTCAGTGGCATCATTACTGAGCTTCGTCCAGAACCTTGAGTCTTAGTCATCACATTGCTTGGCTCTGGCCCCCTAACACCACAGCATGTTGCGTAAAGAAGCCAAAGTGCTGCAGGCAACTGGAGGACAGTGGAGGAGGAGGAGAGCTGCCTTTACTAAGACAGGCAGCAGCTGTATTTGCTTCCTGTCTTTTTCTGAAGAAGTGTCCTCAAGCTTGAGTGTGTACTTGTGCGGACATACCTGCGCGTGTGTTTACGATTGACCTCGGCCAAACTCCAGCTTTCTCTGGTTCCAGAAGTGCACCTACAAAGGCACATGACGGAGACGGGCTGTTGCGCCTGCAGCATGAACCTTTCACCTAAAAGCTCTCAGTCTTTATGCCCAAAACTCCCATTCGATTGGTTTGACCTCTGTCCAGCCGGTCACTTAAAAAGTGGAAGTGTCAGCAGCGTGCCGGTTTCCTGTAATTCTGCCAACTCAATCTCCCGGTGACATGAAAATTATGTTAAGCGGTCACAGAGACAGGGACAATAGTGTGTCTGAGTGCTGAGAGTTAAACGTGAACAGGTGGGAGGAAATAGCCCTAAGTACAATGCTGTGTACTGAGCAGTGTATTCAGCTTTGTGTGTATGGTGAGTGTCTACTACAAGGTCACTGAGTTGCACAGAATGGGCCTTGTACTGTGACTGAAACCAGGGTCTGTTCCAGCCTGTCACATGTTTGGATACAAAAAGACAATCTTGTACCCCTTTACACACACACACACACACACACACACACACACACACACACACACACACACACACACACACACACACACACAGAACAACCTGTACCATTTCTCTCCTTCTGGCTTTGTGCCTTCGGCTCTGTCCGATAGCTGCTGCCAGCTCCAATCAAAGCTCTGCTCCTTATCTAATGGGCCAATCAGCTTCATGGCAGAACCTAAGTAGGTTGTGTTGATCCCACATCCGGGCAACGTAACACCTCGAGTCTGAGTGTGGTAGTAGGTGTCAGTGACAGACTTAAAACAGCCAGATATGCTAGTTGTAATGTGAAATGATGAGAATACTGGGCCCCTATGCTGGAAGACCGTACATCCATCTTGTTTTCCCCCTAAAATGTACTTTCGTTTACATGCCGGAGGAAAAATATTTGCTGTGCCACAGTTCTCATTTTACACCCAAATCATTAACATCTTAAGGTAAATGACACAGCATTCTAGGTTAGAGTTTCAACCCAAAAACTGTCATGTAACTTTAAGGGCACCAAAGAGCAGCTTGTTAAGACTAACCAGCAACCAGGAAGTTAAAGCAATACATGGTCCATCAGTCCGCGCTCTCCCCCTGGCCTTAATGTGGCAACATGCCCCCAACTGCCACTGTTGTACACTTCCAGTCAGTTACTTAAAAGAAATTACACTTTTCCTTAACCTAAAACACATTTGTACATGGAGAACCTAAAATGTGCACACAGAACATTGCTGAAAACTGCTCTATTACATTTAATACGTCTATTTTTAAGCCAGAACATTTACTGCTATTGTTCATAAATGTATAAAAAGCTTCAAAACAATACTTAAAACAAGGCGATCTGTGTTGACTTTTCATCAGATGCCAGATTTACAGCTAATATAAGATTAATTGCATCATTTAAGTATGATGGAAGCAGTTTCAACAAAATCTCAGTAGTCGCCTTTGTACGACTGTCATTTCAATTTCTATTGTGCTCCAGAGGAGCATAAAGCACAAATAAACAATTCTGCAATAATTACTTTGCGACAATTACGCTCCCCTCAGTCCCTGGAGGGCCTTTACCTCTTCACCTGTTCATAGTTAAACTGAAATTAACTGGCTCTCCTCTCATTATTGGAATAGAGTTGCTCTCGTTTCCAGCTCACTTGACAGGGAAAACAAATGTTAAGGGTTAGACAAATTTTATAGCTCAGACCTGTGGAGTATTCCTGTGGTCCCTCTCACTTCTTATAAGGTGGTTGTTTACAATTAATCGGATCCCAGAGTCGCGCAATTTCTTTTCTCCCTGGTGAGTTGGTGCCAACATTGTTCAACCCTAACCAAGAACGTTGTGTCGTGGATGCAGATGTAATCTTCATGTGCTAACTGATCGCTCTCTTTTTGTTCCTCCCACAGTGAATCATGGCAAGTTCCCCAAGCAGGAGGACTCGTATGCCTTTGAGGAGGACAGCAGCAGCGAGAGTCTGTCTCCGGAGCAGAACCACAGCGACGAGTCACAGGGCTCAGCCTGCCCTTCATCTGACGCTGTCGGCAGCACGGCCTCCTCCTCTTCCTCACCTGCCCTCACCAGCCCACGACAGGTATGACCCAACGCTTTGCCTGTCTTTTTTCCGTCCCTCCGTCAGTCTCTTGCCGGCACCTTCTCACATCCGTGCCTCTACTGCCCTCCTGTGGTGGCAGAGTGAAGTCCACTGCCCAAACTGTTGGACTGGATTTCCGTTTGTTGATGCCATCAGTTGTAACTGATGTGAAACTTGAAATGTGAAACCTGCAGTCAAGGAGTTACATCATGGCTGTAACACCAATGGCTGATTCATGTTGAAAAATATGGCATGCACAATCCGTTCCCAGTACTTTAGCAGTGCTTGCATACAAGCGAAGATGTATAAAAACAGATGCTTACTAGTGACCTTTTCCCCAAAATATATATTTGTGTCATTAGTTCTGCTAACTAGATTTCTGCCACTTGTCTTTCCCACTTAATTCCTGTCTCCTAAATACTCAATAAAAGCCCGACTGATTATTCCAAACGTATAAACGTCTCTGATGAAATATAAATGAATGATTTCTAGGTTTATCTCCGTCCCATGTTGAGCTTTATGTGTTTTCTTCAGAAAATGGTTCATGGAGATATTTTATTAATCCAAGGAGTAGTGCTGCACAATATGCCAAATCACATTTGTCATTGCAACATCAATACATATAGATGGGTTTGTTATTTTCACAGGGTAGTGCAACCAGAGGCCCACCTGACCAAAGCCAGGAAGAAGGCCTGTCTTCCCCTAACACCAACCAGGTAGCTCCACCAATACCGGTTCCTGCAATAGTCAAGGTTAGCAATCTTTGAATCCTGTCATCTTCTTTTTGACGTACCAACCGACCAGCTTAGCTTGCCTTCTTTGAACAGTCCAAGACGTCGGACAAGAACCGACACAAGAAGCCCAAAGATGTGAAGCCAAAAGTAAAGAAACTCAAGTACCACCAGTACATTCCTCCAGACCAAAAGGTGGAGAAGTCTCCTCCGCCCATGGACTCGGCCTACGCCAGACTCCTGCAGCAGCAGCAGTTGTTCCTGCAGCTTCAGATCCTCAGCCAGCAGAAACATACTCACACACATTCACAGATACAGCAGCCACAACAGCAGCATATACACTCCATGCAGGCCCATACCCAGCAGAGACAGCCCACCTTCAGCTACCAGCCTCAGCTGCCAGCCAGCACCCAGAAGTAAGTCCCACCACTTGCACAATTCACCTCTGCCATTGAAAGACAATATTTTGGAGCTGATGTCCAATAAAAACTAGCTCAGAAGACTGGCTATTTTGTCATTCATAAGGTAACCTTTTGTTTTTCCCAGAGATGAATCTATTTCAATGTTCCCTTTCCAGGAGCAACAGTGAGCAGGTACCATCTTGCGCCTCTCGTGTTCCTGCCAGCAACTTGAACAGCAGCTCCTCTTCTCCCGTCAAGAACACGTTTCCCAATCAAAACAATGTTTCACCTGTCAAAGTTGGTCCACTACCTGCTAATCTGGATGACCTTAAAGTAAGTCTTATTAGCAATTAAAAGTCAAAGTGTTACAGTATAAAGCTGCAGTATGTAACTTTTACAAAAATATGGTTTTTACATATTTGTTAAAACGGTCACCATGTCGTGACAGTACGGTGTGAGACAGAATCTTTGAAAAGATGGAGTTCCTCCACCCCCTTCCAGCGCCACTACTGCCTTACGCAAAAATGCACCGGTGCTGGTCAAAAACAACCAATCAGAATCAGCAGGAGTGTCTTAGTATTGTCAGTCAAGCTCGAAAACTGTTTATCCCCTGTCATCGCTGGCCATTCTCACTAACCTGGGCTTTGTTATTTTATGGTCAGGACATAGTAATAGCTTTAAATGTAATAAAGCAAAACACTTTAATTAAAAAAGTTACATGGTTTCATTTTAACAGTTATTCTGTATGTATATTGTTTCTATATTTTGTTCTGTAAGGTTTCCGAGCTCAGGCAACACTTGCGCATTCGCGGCATGCCTGTTTCAGGGACCAAACAGGCCCTCATCGAACGACTCCGGCCCTTTAAGGACTCCAACACGGACTCCTCACCGTCAGGGTCCTCCGACATCACAACTTTAACTTTTCCGGTCACGCCCACTGGTTCTCTGTCTTCCTACCAGTCCCCATCTTCCTCCAGCAATCTGTCGCAGGGAGGATACTTTCCCTTCCCAAGTACCTCTTCCACGCCGCCCATCTCTCCGGCCTCCTCTGATCTGTCTCTCAGCGGCTCCCTCCCGGACAGCTTCAGCGATGTGCCAATGTCCTCCCCAAAACAGTTCAACCTGCAGGCATCCCCAACCCAAACTGCCATAGAGGAGGGCCTGGGTGTAGGAGGAGGAGGTGCCAGGGCGTGTGGAGGGAACCAGAGAGTAGGAGAGGACGAAGGGAATGATGGAGGTCTGGAAGCCGAAAAAGATAAGATGCTGGTGGAGAAGCAGAGGGTCATCGAGGAGCTGACGTGGAAATTGCACCAGGAGCAAAGACAGGTGAGGAACTCCCTAATGAGATGTTGTACTTTACCAATATTAGTCGGTCACACTTTGACCAATCCACTTGTTAGGTTGAAGAACTGAAAATGCAACTTCACAAGAGGAAACGCTGCTATGGAGCAACTGAGGACGCCAACCCTCCATTGTGTCACACCTCAATGCTCCACCAGCAGCAGGCCACACCTATGATGGGCCAGCATTTTCTGGGGGTGGCAATCAAGCAAGAACCTTTGTCCTTGTCCTCTAGTTGTCCCCTGTCTTCCTCCAAGCAGCTCAAGAGCCCTCCTGGCAGCTGCTTGGACAACATGGGGTGCTGCAACAACCCCATACCAAATCTGGGCGGTGGTCCTGGTGGGCCACAATGCATGGACACAGACCCTTCCTCTGCCAGCCCCTCCACCGTGTCAGCCTTTCTGAGCCCCCAGTGTTCTCCACAAGATTCTCCTGTCGGAAAACCCACCAGCAGCTCCCAGCCTCCGTCGCCTAACAGCCCCTACCTGCTGTCTCCTCTGCTGGGGAGAGACAGCTGTGGACACCCCCATGGACAAGGCAGAGGTCACAACATGCAGGTACAAAGAACTGAATGAACTTGAGCAAGGTTGCAACAAACATGCAACGAGAATTTCAGTGTCTTAGTTTGAAAAAGCTAGTACAAACACTTGACCGAAAAATTCAGAAACAACCGTGGAATGGTTGAAAGGTGACTCCACAAAGGATGTTACGGGGGAGCTAAAGAGAGCCAAAAAGATCTTTATCTGTAAAACATTTTAGAAACCATGTACAATCTTCCTTTCCTTTTTAGATTAACATAAAGATGTGAATTGCATCTTTGTGAAATACTCCAAAACTCTTGGAAGCTTGTTGAAACATGACAAAATCTGGAAAGTGAAATACTTTTTTTAAACTTCAACAGACAATTTTACAGAGCGGTTGTTTCCATTTATGAGCCTTTCTTTTATGTACTCTAAATCTTTGATTGATCCAATTGATTGTTGTTACATCCTGCCTGCTGCAGGTGCAGCAGAGGACTGGCAGCCAGCCATTAAACTGCTCTTATCCTTTGGACCAAAGAAGCCTTCAAGCTGCATTTCCCAGCTCACCTGACTGTGGTCTTAACCACAGCGGCCCCATCAAGGCCGAGAGTCAGAATATGCAACCAAAGGTAAGCGTGTAAAAGATCTGAACGTTTGCCTTGTCGTAACATTAGTCAGGTTGTGTTATCTAACTAAATCCCCTCCCATCCGTGTTGTTTCCTCCTCCTCTTTGTTCATTTCTGATCTGTCTCTGAATTGTCTCTTTGGTATGAGGCTCATCGTCCCGCTTCTCATATCTGTTACATGTTGTCACACTCTTTAACACGAGTAAACCCATTTGAAACGCCAAGTAATCTTTACATAACAACTGTGATGAGGTTACTCAGACGTGGAGCCCTGATTTCTGGTGTTTCTTCTGCATCTCTAACTTGGTGAGCTCCCCTACCACATGCTAATGACACTTTTCACTTATTTCTCATATAGATGTCAGCATTGCCATCTTCCCGGCATGTTGGCCAAAAGTGCCAGGTCTCCCCCCCTGCCTTCAGTAGCTCAGATTCAGATGCATCTGACTTAAGACAGCCCCCATGCTATGAGGATGCAGTGAAGCAGGTAAACTCAATTCTATGCTAAAAAAAAAAAAAAAAAAAAAAATTTAGTGGAGTTTGCTGGCTAGGGAATTCATCTAAACTTGTGCGGTTCCGATTCCAGTTTTCTTCTCTCTTTTCTTGTTTTTGTGTCCCAGACAATCCATCATGTTTGTCTCAGCTGTTTGTCCCAATCATTGCTTCTATCACCGCATGAACATTCAAACCCTCCTGACAACTCTGACACAGATTTTTACTAAAGATTGAGTTGGCAAAGTTGCCAGGAAACATGCATGTTTTCGTGTAAATTCTCTTTAGTTGTCTTATCAAAAATACTAGATGATATAAAGTCCAGATAAAAAAGGAAAAAAATGAAGTGTTACTTATTCACACTCTTGGGGTTACATTCAATGAGTGCCAAAGAAAATAAATGGAGCTTCTGGATTGGCTGCTTTGAAAACTCCAGCCAATAGCATGTGAAGTAACATCACACCCAACCTGCATTTTATTTCAAATATGAGCTCTCCGTAAAAATCCACAAATAATTTGGAGTTTCGTTCCACAGACATGGACATCAGATACAGATCCGCAAATAGGCAGGGGTCCACTATACAGGGCACTGAAATATATGGATGGACATATGTTCCTACAGCATTTGGGATATTTATTTTACTTGCACTAGATTCTCTAGTGAGCTGTCCAGGGTGTACCCAGCCGCTTACCAGTGGAGAAAAGCACCAGCACTCAGCACTAGTAGACCAGGGATCTTCAAACCCAGTCGGTATTCGGCCGGTGCCATGTAACTTTTACAGATGTCCCTTGTCAAGCACACCTGAATCTAATGGAAGATTTACCTCCTTTGTATCCAGGCAAGTTCTCCAAAGACCTGCTAATGACCTAATTATTTGACGCAGATGTGTTGAAGCAAGAGAGCACAGGATTTGAAGACTCCAACACTAGATCATTGGTTACCAGTAGCATGCTTCACAAAGAGACAGTTTTATGTCAGTATTTCCAGTGGAAACCATCAGAACCTGCTGTATTTTGACTTGTACTGAGGTCTAATTTACAACCATTTTCATTAGAGATACACATATAAAAATTTGGACTGATACACATACAAATATCAACCAAAAGGACATACAAGTTGGTTGATAATATCAGCCCAGTTCTACTTACACCGCAATCAATAAGTTGAAAAATTACAAAAAATCGGTTGATATTGATGGCGATATATCATGCTTCCTTGATATTCATGCTTCCCCTCTGAAGTTTTAAGAGACTTCTGGAGCTTATAGTGGGAAATTATTGAATGCAGTCACGTCAAAGTTGAGTGATTTAAACAGCTGATTGATGAGAATCTCTATTGCACTTTCAGCAACTGACCAGGAGTCAGCAGATGGATGAACTGTTGGACGTGCTCATAGAGAGTGGAGGTAAGCAGAATATCGGTTTAGCTTTTAGAAAGCTCCAAAATTATTCCTGGGAGTAAAAGCAACTTGTAAAACAGCAGAAAAAGAAATCTTGAGTTTTATGGGAAATGTTGGCATCCACTTCCTCGAAATGCTAAGACAATCCATCCTTTCCTTTCTCCTTAAGAGATGCCAGCTAACGCAAGAGAAGAGAGGGAGAGGTCCTCTGTAACACAAGTTGTGCCTCACATTACTGTGTCCCCAGGGTGTCCCGGCCTTCTCATCCCAAGGTTCCACTGGCACTACGAGCACCTTTCCACCAACCAGATGCCCTACGACCATGCCGCCAATCACGCCACCGAGAGCCACCTGCAGACTCTGCTGGGTAACCCTATGGGTCGGGGAGGGGAGATGGGGCTCCTTAAAATGGCCGCTGAGGACGGACATCAGGAAGACGAAGGGAACAGAGACGCCGAAGAGTACGGCAGCCACCACTGCCGTCCCCACCATTCCCAGCAGGACAAACTCCAGACCAACAGGGATCGGCTAGACACGCCTCTGTCGCCTGGTAGCAGTAAGGTGTTCGCCGTCCCTGAGGTCCAGGGGATGGTCAGCATGGCCTTTAGCGAGACGCCGTGGGAAACGATGGAGTGGCTGGACCTGACGCCTCCCAGTTCTGCGACTGCTTTTGGCGGCGCTGCTCAGCCCAGCGCACCAAGTATCTTTAACACAGAGTTCCTGGATGTGACGGACATTAACTTGAACTCTGCCATGGACCTTCAACTGGAGCATTGGTGAAAGCAATAATGCCAACATTAATACCAAAGAACTATTGAACCTCCCCTAGATTTCTTCAGTCTAAGTGTGAGAAGTTCCTCTTTGCTGTCGTACAGTGGAATATTATTTTGTTTAGTCGACTAAAGGTTGACAGCCTAAAGAGATGTTGATGCTTTATCTTGAATCTTAACTTTACTGAACTTATATTCCACCAATGTCATCGTAACCCAAAAAAAAAACAGGTGCTTTTTGATACAATTTGTGTTCATTTTGAACATTGATGCGCACAACTGTCGCTGCGTTGAGGACTGACAGTGGACACATGTAGTACTTTCTGTATGCACCATCAGTGTTACGCCACCGAGACTTGAAGACAGAATTTGCCAATCACTGCATACCTAGAGAGGGAATATTTGTGTTACTGGAAAAAAAGAAAGAAAAATCACCTAAAACAGACTAACAATAATATCTAGATTTCATAGAAGGGGCCAATTTGTAAATATCAACAGTTTTGGAAAATCTCACATCAACATGCTGTTGTGAAACATGTGGGAGAGAATACAACCCAAAAATGAAGTGTAAAGTACAACCATTTCAACGTTTGATGTAAATATGAGACATATATATATATATATAAATATAAAAACTTCACAGAGCACCTCTTGCTTAACACATATTTGTCACAGTTTGCTTGAGCTTTGAATATAGGAATGGTTGTTTTTTTTTTATACATATCTACAGTTTCTGACATATTTATGTACAGGAAGACATAAAGGGCAAAACGATGTCTGAGAAATCTTTGGTCTTATAAGTTTAAACCAAGAGACAAACTGTGCCTTACTTGCAAAACATGCTTTATGAATAAAATGTCCCAGTTTTATATTGACGACTCTACAAAAGCTAACAGGCGTTTTAAAAGCTGCAAAAAGTCAACTTCTAAAAAAAAAAAAAATTAATAAAAAAAAAGATAATTTTATGTGTAATTTTTGTCCTCTTAAATTGCAACATCTCTATTTCAAAGTCAATCACATTTATTTATTTTTGTGATTTTGTATTTATACTTGATGTTGTATTTATGCTGACATTCCTTTGATACTTTCTTGATGTAACCAAAAAAATTATATATATAGATATATATAGATTTCTTTTTTTTTTTTTGGACCACTGACTCTTTTAGACTAAGCAGTTTCAAAATGTGGGGAAAAGCGAAGGAGCCGACCTAAAAAGCTGCGTTATCTCAAATGACAGTTATCGATTGTGTGAACCGTCCATTGTAAGCACTTGTGAATAGAAAAGAAATGTAATATATTCAAATCTTACCTGTGAATACTTCTAAAAACTCCCCCTACAGCCAGCAGACATATTGGTCTGCTTAATATCACTCAGATCAGTAACATTCTGAACACTCTAAAAAGTAAGAGTTTGAATTTCTAGTTTCTTCTGAATGTATTGAAAGAAAATACAGAAATGCATCAGTACGTGTTCTAAATATGCAGCATCATCCACAAAGCAATTTCGTGGCTATACAGCATTGTCAATCCCATAATATTCCTAAGTATTTGCAGCAGAAAGCAAATTTTTTCTTACATTGTATGAAAAGACAATCATTTTTATTTCTATTGTCATTTATGCTACTTTTATGTCAGAAGATTACATAATTTTTTGTAGGGATGAGAGGGGATTTAATAGAATTGGCTTTAAACTGCCTTTAAACTTGAATTCATTTTTTTTTAGCCATCCTGACACTAGTTTGTCGAAATCCTGGCCCATTCCTCCTGACAGAACTTAATCGGGCACACCTTTTCAGCTAGAAAAGCCGAAATACCTAGAACCAAGGCCCAGGTTACCAGGCATTTGGTACCTGGGCCTTCATAGGGACTTTACTGATTTAATCCACCTCTATGACCTTGCAACTATACAAGATATACCAACTCTATAGTAATATAACGGGGTCAGGTATTACCAAGGTTTGTTCAGTCCTTACATGAACGTTAGTGTTGAGTTTTCGGATTTCAAGTATTCTGGTCTAAATGCAACATTCAGACCACGTATTTAAATGAGTCCTGAGTGACCACATGAATCCCAAACACCTGAGCTGTATCCAATTAGATATAGAGAGGAGAAGGCAGCTAAGACCATATGCCTTTGGCCATATAGATATAAGTTTGTAGCACTGTTTGTTTATCAATCAGCCTAATAATTAATTCTGATTCAGCCAATCCAGAAAGGAGCGTTTATTATTCCTCTGTGCTGATTGGTTGTTCGCACAAGAGCTGAAATAATGAAGAGTAAATATTAACTTCTGTGCCTGGTAATGAATACTGTGGTATCTTTGGTGTGTGAACTATTGAAATAATGCATTTTTTTTTATAAGAAGTCTCAGGTATTCCTGGGGTCCCTAATGCCTGCAAATACCAAAAGTCAATCTTATACCTTCTGTTCAATTCCCCCTTGTTCCCGCAAATATAACAAAGTTCATTATGGGCAACTTTTTGATTGTAGTTGCTGCTGAGCCCATGGCATGTCTCCAAAAGTTAAGGATTTTACAAATTATGTTTTTCTTCTTTAGTGGCCCTTCAAAACCTTCCAATGTGAATAATGTCTTACCAGATTCAAACAGTGTCATCACAATGTATTTATGTTTTTTGTTTTTTTTTTTAAACTTTTGTTAAGTCATGCTCATGTTACCCAAAAATGAACTTTTCTTGTAGAGCTCTCTTCTAGGTATCTTGGCTGAATTTTTTTAGTTTTCATTTTTATTTTTTGTGTCACACAAGGAAGTATGGTAAATGTTTGAGGGATTGGCTGAAACTGCATTCGACTGTACTTCAATATGAATATATCTGAAGCTCCTAAAGCCTTGACATTACCTTTTGGTCTTATTTAAAGTAAACAAAATAAGCGCATAAACCTCTGAATTTGATGAAAGCGATCAAATAAAATTCCAAAAGTCATTATCAATGCATTTAGCTTATAATAATAATTGTAATCCTAATTTACCTCAAAGGTTCAGTTGGATTGAATGTCAGAGAATTGATTTTCTTTTTATACAATGTGCACATATCCGGTTTCAACACTGTACATCAGATGAAAACCCCAAGAAGACAAAACCAAGGTCTGTTAATCATGAGGTGGCCAAAAAAAAAAAAGCACCAACCGAAATTAAAATGCAGCTTGACAAATTTCTAGTCATAATTAATGTAGAATAACCATTTTATTTGACACACTGTGGTTATATCAATGTGGGAAGCGTTGGTTTAGAGCCAAAAGGGATAGATTGGGCAAGTTTGGATGACGGAAAAGACATGTAGAACATTTGCGATAGAAAAACTGGTAATTCAGAGTGAATCATAAATTTCAGACAGGACTGCTGGCTGGAAATTCAAGCCATAAACGCTCGTGAACTTAAAACTGCTGTCACATTTTCTCTGATTTCTTAGCTTTCAGCTTTAACGAGGAGTGGATTTATTTGGCCTGGCATTATTAAAATGCTAATATAAGGCTAAATATTGATGTAAATTATGGGTTTGAAACTTTATTTAGACATCCCCTAAGCTAAGCTCTCATTCATATCGTATATTTGGAAATAAACTTCTGGGTAAACCTGTGCTAGCTGATTTAGCAATTAGCTCAGCATTAGCATTCCTAAAGCAACTAGCGCAGGTGTCTCTTCTCTTTTTGTTTGAGAAGAGACAATATGTTGACATTGATGGGGCTAAATTTAACCTACTTTTGGCACTTTTTGAGGTTTCATTCAACATTCAAAATTAAATCCAATTCATCACCACCCTCCGTTTTATTTGCTGAAACTCTTTGCTAGGAAATCTATCCCATTCTTGATTTTTTTTAAATTTTATTTATTTTTTTTTTTTTCCAAACAAGTATGGCTGAATATAAAGCCACAACTTTGGTAAGTGTGGATTATTGAAGCCATTTGAACTTGGGCGAGAAATGGACAGGATTTGTTTGTGTCATCTGTAACATCCTGCCACTACGGTCATTGCCACTTTGACACGGTTCTGGTTTCAACTGACCCGTTTCTTCACCCCATTTTTAGTGAATGGGATGAAGAAATGGTATTAGAGCCGCGTGAAAGTCAAACAACAGATGTAATCAGAGTGACGGCGTCCTTCCCAACTGCAATAACCCCAAAACATATCCAATATGGCGGTCCTGAGTAAGAAGGATGCTACTCTCAAGATGTTTGTTTGCCTTTCTGATGGCATGTAATTTTGTGAACACATTTTATTGTGTGATTTTTGAAAACTGTTAATCCTGAGATCCAAACTAAGTTGAGTAATTATAATGCAGTATTAGCCTCGAGTCAGATATTGAACTGCTTCTGCCACAAATACAACACAGAAATGAAAGTGAAAATATGTGCAAGTGTTGCCCCAATGGTGGGTCATCCATCCACTCTGTGAAATCAGGTTTGATTTGAGCATTTTTGACCGTTTTACGCTTTACCTGTGGACATGTTTAGTGGTTTACACAGTTTTGATTCCATCACATTCAAAGGTGTTTTCACTTTCTGTCTTAAATATGTTTTCCAGTTCTGTTCACCCATCTGGCCTTAATCGCCATAATTCTCGTTATTCAAGGCCAGAAAGCAAAAAAAAAAACAAATCTGACAGAAGCTTCCATGTTGCTTGGCCACCAACTTACCTTTTGTCTATTGTAAAAAAAAAAAAAGTATGGATTTATTTCTGTATTCTGCTGAAAGAGCAATAAAAAATTATCACAGCTATTTTGTTTTTTTTTAAATTCATGTTCCTAAGCAGCACACAACCAGACAGACACATTTTCAGTCTTTTTCATGGGGAACTTTTATTGTAACCCTCAATAAACATACATTATAATATTCATTGCCCTTAATATCATCTTATATTCTAATATGAACATTCTGGTAAATTGCAGTTTGTACAACATGTACCCTGGAGACTCATATTCACCAGTGGCAAGTGAACTTCCTGGAAACGCATCCCGTAATAACGGCGCCATCTACCGCCATTCCGGAAGGAGACAAAACGTACAGGCCTGACAAGAACTCCTTATGACAGAATTTCATCTGGTGGTTGTAATGTTTTGCTTTCCCAACTAGGTAACAAAATGACCCACACAATGGGAGGTATGGCACGGCTAACGGCTGTACAGACCCATAATAAACCAAACATGCATTTTCGTTGACTATCCCAAATGTAACAATACCAGTAAATACTCCAACAGACTAATGCGATTGAACTAATCTTGTAAACTGCTATAGTTGAATTGCCCATTTAACTGAGCATACAGCCCATTTCGAATGTCATACAGGGTGCTGGTATAGTTTCATCCTCTACATTCTTACTATTAAAGCACCATTAAAGTATTTGAAACATTTCTTTTGGCTCAACACCAGAGAAAAAAAAAACAAAGCAGATGAGAATAAACTGCCAAAATAAATTAACCTAATCAAGAATACCATTTCCTTTTGGATTTAAGCCACAATGGCAGGATCCATTTGCTTTTAGGAGACTGCAATATTACAATATCACCAAATGGGTGTTTTATTATCATCATATATTTTCCTAAACATTTAAATTTATTGCCTGATGGATCTCTGTAGTGTTGCATTAAGTGTTTACTTAAGCTTACTTCTTGAAGTCTGACTGCCGCTCTAGGACACGTTTGGGTCAAACAAATTGATAGGCAGGGAAATGGGACGATGGCTTCAGCCCAGACGTTTGCTGAATCACTGGAGGACATGCAGGCTCCAGGGTGACCTGAGGGGTCAAAGGGCGGGAGACGAAGCGAGGAGGGTCCTTCCTCCTCTCAGCGGTTGTGGTATGGAAGTTGGTAGCATGTGATTAGCAGCATTTTACCGTTACTCTATTTCTTTTCTTTCATAGACATAAGCTGTCAGAACATGTGGAGCTGTAGTTACTACCGTGTGCCTGTGGGTGGCAGCATGGAGCATCTGTGATCTGTATGGGTGAGTTTGACTGTACAGTGCTAAGACAGGCTGTTGAGGAGGAAAAAAAAAAAAAAAACAGTCTATATGGTGACATTTCTCAGGACGAAGCCACATCTCCTCTCCTGTCTGACATGATGACCGTGTTTTAGGAACGAGCCTTAGAAGATCTGAGCAAAACCTGCCAAGAACAGCAGGTGAGGATGGCTATGTACACATCTATTTACATCAGTGAAAACAACATCCAAAAGCAACTTTACATTAGGCAACGTAGCATTGGATTAACTTCAGGTTTGAGTCTTTGTGTGTCTTGCCTTATTATTTCAGTCACAGAACTAAGCGTCTTCCCGTTTCAGAAATCAGCTGGTGATGATGTTCATGATGCTAAATGAGCGGGACTCTGCAGCAGAACAACCTTCTATGATTTTCAACAAATGCACTAATATGAATAGAACAGTTTGTGGTGGAAACTAAATCATGTTTGCCAAATTAGTAAAACAAACTATCCGTTTGTAATGCATTTACGTGTTCGATGTGACAGCTTTAGCTAGCGAAATGAACAAAAGCACTATTAGTATGGATTATTTTCATTTGTACTACATTTATATGAAAACAGTAAACATCATTTCTTCTTTGTCTGGCACTTAGCAATGACGCATGTATGTCAAAAACAACTGTAACTTGTGGTATTTATGACAGCCAGTCAAAAGTAAAGCTTAAAAAAAAAGGAATTTGTAGAACAAATGGTAAGCTAAATTATTAATGTATATATTATATGTCAATGTACAAATAGCAAATGAAACCTGTTTTCAGAGAAAACAGGTCTTTGGTTCTCTTTTTTTTTTAATTTATTTGGTCAAATGTTTGGTTTTCAATGCTTTGCGAGTTTCTTTGGATAAAAAGTAACAACTACAGGTCACATATTTAATCAGTTTGGGGGGGAAAACAAAAAGAAAAGTCAATCGAAGTTCCAGAGATTAACAGCTTTACGTGTAACAAACCTAAAAGTTAAATCATGTGTCAGCTGTTAAGCGCTTGCTTTGACAAAAAGTTTATGGACAAATAGGATTTAGCAACGTGTTACGCGAAATAATCAACGTCGCAGAAAGCTCCTAATTTCAACATTAACTTTGTTTATTTTTTACAAAAATCTCATAATAAACTCCTCTTTTTGGTAAAGTTTCTTGCACAACAATGCTGGTTTTTTCCCCCGTTTCTTAGCCATTAACTAACAGTGCACTTTGTTTTGGGTGGTTAGCATCAATAGCGAACTGAAAATGTTCTTCTGGAACAGCACATGCCTAGTTAAGTGACTTAAACAAAAAGGTCAAAGCTCACACACTGAGCCCAGCACTGCAGTAGGTGTAAGAAGATAAAACGTTTTAAGACAAGCCGTCACAGATTGCATATTGAAGAAGAAAAAAAAAAAAAAGTAAAGCCACGCTACCATAAGCTTTCCAAAAAGAAACATTTGCATATCCATTCATTGACTGTGTGTGAAGGTGCTCACAGCAAAACGTGTGAAAGTGTGTGATTTTTAGACAGTAGGTGTATCAGCAATAATCCATACAAGTTGTCATTTTAGGCAAAGACAAATATGCATATAACGTGCAATCCGCTAGGTTGCCGTTTCGTTCAGACATCATGAGCGCCACACAATTTTATTTGGTAGATTTTTTTGTGAACTATATATATATATATATATATATATATATATATATATATATACACACACGCACACACACACACTATTCTTTGTGTCGCATAACAAGATGCACCTCACTCTACTAAGATAAAGCAGAGACACTTGAAGCAGCAACTTTAAGAGATTATTTTGAGATCTTAAAATGACTGGAAAATGTTTCTATTTTTGTTGAGGGGGAGGATTTTCGTCTCATTGCACTGGGAAGTTGAATTCCTTTGTTCTTTGGAACGTGTGAACAAACAGGTGATCCTACATAACTGAAGGCTAAGTTGACAAGCGCCGCATCACAAAGCTTAGTGTACCACCCCACTCCCTCCTCCACCAATGGGAACGCTCTTCTTGGCATCAGTCGACGTACATAGGGGAGACGGGCGAGGCGGGGATCTGATCCAGGATGCGACACACGTAGCTGGCCACGTCCACGAAGCGCTCCTCGTACATCAGAATAAATGGGTGTTTCTGGGAGAGAGGAGGCAAGAAGCTTCAGGCTCGTTTGGGTGTCGCTGAGATCAAAACGGCTCCAGGTTTGGTGAGCAAATTTTGGGTTAAATATGGCCTAAATGCCTACAGTATTAGAGGTGCAAGTATTTGTAATTTGTAATTTCTTTATTTTTGAGGAGAAAAACTATTGTTCTATACGATTATACCAGCAGGTGGCAATAAAAACTTTTAAAAAAATTAAATGCTCCTGAGAAAGGCTAACTGAGTGCTAAGCTGGGTTAAAAATTACCACAGAACTACTTAAGTTTATGTTTTTCCTCTCACACTGCCTTCCTTTTCTATCACTTCTTCAGCTCACATTGTGAGTTTAAATAATAATAATAAAAGAGTTTAAGTAAAGTTTGGTGGATGTGTGATTATGCAAAATTAGGCTGCTGTGTCTTGATTTTCATAAACCCATCTAGTCCACAACAAAGGTTTCTGACCATCGTCCGTTTGAAAAAGTTTTTAAAAGTCTGGCACTTTTGTGAAAAACACTTTTAGTGTTCAGAAGAGACATAGAAAAAAAGAGGAAAATAAAAAATAAAAAAGTAAATAACATTGGGACAAACGGGTTTAGTTTTCAACATTTTTGTTATTATTTAAACTCCTGAATTACAGAAAATAGCTAGGTGGGTCATATTTTTAAAGAACATAGGTGTAGGCAGGATGGCCTCGTTATTTCTGACTATAAAAATGCTACAATTAGAAATGCAGTACAGCTACCAACTGCAGAAAATAAGAAAATTAATTGCTCAAAACTCCTTAGAGGCATTCCTTCAGACGTCAGAATAGTTTACTAGCTAAATACCACATTTTACTCAGCGACAACCATATAGGGAACTACTGTTGGGGATCTTGTGTGTTTGGTTGTTGCGAGAAATGTTGCTTTAACAGAGATTGACAGCAGAATAAAAACTGCAGTAATGCTCAATATATGGATAAGTTTCAAATTAAACAACATTTTCCAATTTTCCTGCTTAAATTAAACCCTGAAAAGACTAAACTAGAGACTTAAACCATGTCTTTAGCATGGCTAATTAGTTTCTTGTAGACAGATCTGTGACATCAAAATGAGTTTTACAAAAGATTTTGTCGCATCTTTTAGTTCACAAGTTGAACTAAAGAAACAAGTGCTCTGCCACAAGTCAGTTTAGCCTTTCACAACAGAGCATATTTCAAATTATGACCAAACTCTTTTCAATCCAGCTCCGGAACAAAGCTAATGAAAGGGCACTCACCAGAAGCTCCCTGTACTTTGGCCTCTTTGACTCGTCTTTTGTAAGGCTGCACAAAAAGAAAAAAGAAAGAGCCAATTATCCATCACTGCAAGCAGGTCAGATTTTACATGCCAGAAACTGAAAAGGCACAGAAGGAAAGCGGGAGGCATTCCCAGGGAAAGACATCTGACCCTGACATCAGCAGCGTCCAATTTTTGTTCTGCAGATGCTAAAAACAAAACGAGGCAAAACTGCTTCCTGCAATGACACCCACCATAGGTTAACGAAGTTGATGAACTTCGGGGAGAACTGCCTCTCCTCCGAGTTGCTGAGCTGTGGAGGTTCTCCTTTCACCACTTGTGTCAGCTGATCAAAAACACTATTCCACTTGGGGTACGGGAATCTTCCCGTGGCTAACTCATACTGGAACACAGAAAAGAAAAAAAAAAACAAAACGGTATGAGCAACCCTCACTGTCCTCGTTTGAGCTGCGGTTTAAGATCAGATTTGGAGATCTTATCGGCTACCAAGGTGATTCCCAAGCTCCAAACGTCGGAGCGGACGTCGTAGCCCTGTCTGGAAGCACTGGGGTCTATCCGTTCAGGCTGGGGAAAAAAAACATTCACACAAAATAGATCAGACAGGGCAGATTTCATTTCAGCTTAATTACCTGATAACTAGATCAGTTGTGAATTCAGAAATATTGAAATTACAAGAAAATAAGCACATTTCAACACATCGCCAGTAGAAAATTTGGTTTAAATGTGTAGATGTGATTTTTTGTTCCAGATTCTAAGGTTTTCCAGTCAATTCTGGGATCAAGCACAACTGACTACTTTCAGACAAACATTAGTTAAGGCTAGGGCATCTACTAAATTAGGCCAAAGCATTAAAATGTATTTATTTTTCTTTCAGCTTTGATAGTACAACGCATTAAAAAGCTTGAAGAATTTTGTTTCTCCATATCTAAAAATCTCTAAGGTGCATTTATCGCTGAATACGTGGGCCCAACTTTTATTTATGTACATTAAACGAGCCACAAATTTAGTTGAAGGTTAAGCGGTTGGCACTTACTGCCATGTAAGGCCTGCAGCCTGCATCTCTAGTCTTGGCTATGGAATCCACCAGCTGGCCGCTGATGCCGAAGTCACACAGTTTGATATTTCCCCTTCTGTCCATTAGAATGTTGGAAGGTTTGATGTCTGCCATGACGGGAAAAATAAATCAGTTTGATAGAAATGAAAAGCAAACATTAGGTACTGAACCTAAAAGCTAAATGCAACACTTACCTCGGTGAATTATTTTCAAGTTTTCTTTTAAGTGATTCAGTGCTTTAACGGTCTGTTAAAAATAAAAATAAAAATCAAATCTCCAGGTCATCTTCTTCATGAATTGTTCCATGTAAATTGTAAGGAGAAAACACGGTTGCTTACAGCTAATGTTATTTTGCCTAATATTTCCTCTGGAATGACATCATCTAATATGCAATATACATATTTGTAGAATTTGTCTAATGAGGTAGACATAAGCTCCATGCAAATCCAGCAGTCCCCCTGAAAAAAAAAGCAAGAAGGGAAGAAATTTTACAACAGCAACAAACATTAACTGTTAGTAGGAAAGTATATTTTAAAGATTAAAGGGGCAGTATTATGTTTTACAGAAATATAGTGCCAATTTATAACATAATAAAGTAACTATGTTAACTTAAGACACTAAAAAAAAAAATATTATTTCTATGTCAGCGATGGCAAAAGACATGTTACTTCCTCATTTAATGCCTTGAAATTGAGCCTCTTTCTGAAATGCCGCCTTCAGGAAGTCATCACAGAATCTGAAGTTTGGAAACAAACTGCAGCTCTGACTCAAAGGCGGGGCTGGGTCCACTCAGGCATTGCCATGGAAACTAAATAATTTCTCAAATGATAATGGAAGTGTCATGGTGACACTCCAGGTGTGTCTTTGATGAGGGAATAACATTATAACATGATGGAAAGCTAAAAAAAAAAAGTTGATTTTATGTGATACTGCCCCTTTAAGCGAGATCATGGTGAATTTTCCGGACCTCTCTGAAGAGGGCGCCGTAGAACTGGACGATGTAGGCACAGTCGCTACTCCTCATCACCACGTCCAGGTCCATCAGCAGCTGCTTCTGCTCCTTCTCGTCCACAGTGGAGCGAATCCTCTGGGGGGAAATTCACACAGAGGCGTCGCACGCGGTCAGCTATATGAACTGAAAACGTCCAGATCACATCACAGGGACGTCCTTCCGCGGTCGGCGTGAGTCACCTTGACTGCCATGATCTGGCCCGTCGGTTTGTGGACCATCTTGTTGACGGAGCCGTAGGCGCCGCGGCCGATCTCGCCGAGGTCTCTCAGGTCCTCCGCGGTGAAGTCGCAGTGCTGCTCCGGGGAGATCTTCAGCTTCCCGGACGACTCGATGCTGTGTGTCCGCAGGCGCTCTCTACACCAACGGAGGCGGGTGCAGTCAGCAGAGGCCGGACGATGACAAAGGAGGAAGAAATTAGGTGAATTTAAAAAAAAAAAAAAAACAAATACTGAAAAGCCAGAACCGTTGCTGTAGGCAAACAAAGAAAGAGTTTGGAGTCTTACCGTGACATCATCAGCATTTGCTTTATTGTGAAGTCACAAACTTTACTTATAAACTCTATTTTAAACAGCTGCTGTGTATGCGAAACATTTTCATCAAATTCTGATTAAAGACTTTAGTATTTAGCTGCCGTCTAACTTCATAAATTCAACTGAAAGCAGCAAAAAGACTCCACTAGAACATGGGTCCAACTTTTTTTGTTGGACATTTTTATTTTTATTGTCTTAAGGTATAAATGCAGGGACTTTAAGCTAATTGTTTGAAAGACCTTAACCAGCATCTGTTAAAAAACATTTGTTTCATTCTGGCAGAGATGACCATAAAATATTCACCTGTGTGGTCTAGGTCCAGGACGTGCAAAGCAAAAAGTAGTTTTTTTGCCCCCAGCTAATTAAAACTCGTTACGTTAACTTTTAGTGTAGACATTAATATCTACTTAAGGAAATTTAAGATTGTTTTTTTTTTTTGTTTTAATCCATGATATTCCTAGTTTTAGGTTTTGAAATAAACCTAAAACATCAAATGCTTGATGAAAAAACAAACATTTACAAACAAGAGAATCAAAATATTTTCTTCTATGGGACGTTGATGTTTGTGGGAAATGATGGAAACAAAAAACACTTTAAAAAATTTAAATCCCGACATAATGAGGAAAAAAAACATAATAGACATTTCTGATACTTGGATCATTTTGTCCAAAACAGCTAAAAAACTGCTTTGTTATTTGATACGTTTGTTTTTGGTTTGTTTTTTTTTTAAGTCAAGTTTGAACTTTTTTTTCCCCAAATGATCATTAGCATGGAAACAGGAAGAATTAAGTCAGTTCAGGATTTAGGACTAAAATCAATCAAGTAAAACAATTTAAAAAAAAAAAAACTTTGTGGGCAAAAACTGCAAAGCAAGGGATACAATAGCAAATTATCAGCATTGCTTTGGCCAATGGAAAAATGATAAAGAATCATCTTCAGAAAGTCTCTATAGTGAATTTGTCAGGCTGAAAATGGCATTTGCACAAAAACCACTAGAGGGCGCCCTCAGTCACGTCATATTTAAACAAACTGTAATTAAGTAAAGCAAAGTAAAAATAAATATATATATTTTTTTTAATCCTCCATGGCTTCCCCGCCTTTACTTACATGTGAGGATTCTGGAACGATGGAGCCGTGGGATGAAGCGGGAGCCTGGAGGTCGGCTTCACCGGAGGGTTGGCGAAATTTAACTTTAGAGCTTTACGTTTGCCTGGTTGGCAGAGAGACACAGAGAGGGAGAGAGAAAAACACAACCAGGTTGCCACAACATGCACGCCACACAGAGTGGGAGGAAGGTCACCCAGATGATGCCAACAGCCGAAACTGGCACATCTCAATACATCAGAGTAGAACCGGTGATTTAAATAAAACATCAAACTCTTCATTGCACACAGTCTGAATTACTTTATTACTATTCTTTTTGGTGATTAAAGGCTTACTGTTCATGAAAATTAGTAGTTATATTGCACAAAATGTATTTTCAATACGATACAATTCAATACTCTTTCGTCTCACTCAGAATTGGGTGGGTCTTAAAGCAACATGTCTGTCATAAAATCACTTTTTTTTTTAGATTTCTGCAGTATTCAGAGAAAGAAAACGTTTCACTTTCCATCATTGGTGAACTGTAATTATGAAAATGAATAGAAATTATTTCAATCTGTGTGCAATGAAGTGATGTAGTACATGAGTTTCTCTTTTTAATCCGAGTTAGTAAAATGAAAGGAAATGTTTGATGATTAAGCAATTGATTCATCGCATGATGTAATGAAGTAAGTTAGATTATTTCCATTCTAATATTCATATTTTTTTTCAAAGCCAATTTTGTTTACATAGAATTCAAAGTGATGGTTTCAGGAGAGTGTCTTTTTATTTATCGTTTGTGGTTGCGTTTTAGCTTTTCCAACTCCAATGTGGAGTTTAACTTTAACCGTTTAATCGCTTGAAAATTGTCTCAATCAACATCATTATCATTTATCGCAATACTTTCTGGGGCAGTTTATCACCTGGCAAAATTTGCTACAGTGACAAGTCTATTGATGATATTCTAATGTATTGAGATGCCCCTGTGTACAGAATGCAACATAATGCGTGTCTTGACTTGAGATAAACCCAAATGCCCAATAAGCAATATATAAAGAAACAAATATCTGGGGTTATCTGAAGCTCCTCATAATGTCAGAAGAATGAACAGAAGCAGAATGACCCTGTGTACAGAGGTTCCCAACGTCTATGGAAGGGGAAAAAAAACTCAAACAAATGGCATGCAGTGTGTGTTATTGACATTGGAAATTCCTGTTTGATTAAAATATGCAAGAACCCCCAAACAGCTACTTTTTTTTTTTTTTTTGGTCTTCTACCAAAGCGTTCCCATCACTCAAACAGCACCGATGACTCGACACTTTGACTGGACTTGGGAGAATTTAACACCGGCGCCGGGGTGAGGGTGTCGCTTTCAGGTGCTGAGGTTAAGTGCCATGCCGTGACCGACCAGCTGGAGCGCAAACGGATCCCTTAACCTTTAAGCCCCCAGTGCAAAAGGAATGCTTGGTGGCCGTGTTGAGAGTTAACAGTGGACAGACTCCCACCCTCCACTAGCTTCCCACCCGACCACCAGAACACCACACAGGCTCCTTCAGTAGAATACAGTGGTCCCTTCTGAACCCGGTTTTGCACCACCCGTTTGGGTGATGATATCAGAAGTGTCTAATCTGGAGTTTGGCTCACCGGACAGAGTGGAAACCACTTTAGACTACTGACGTGTTCCAACATAGAGTAGAAGTCAGTGTGCTTTGAGTGAAACTCTAAGTGCTTACTTTGGGGCACTCCGGACAGGCTTATCTGAAACCCTGAAGTAAAAGGGGGGGGGGGGGGAAAGGCAGCGTTTTTACTACATTTTCTCAGGGCCTACGTCAGCGCAAGTGGGTTGTTTTTCAGCAAGTGGAATATAGGGCAGGTTGCAGTGGGTCTGCTGTGTACATGTGTGTGGAAAATGAGTGGACAGAGGACTGGTGCTGGTTTTGATGTTTTGACGGCTACAGACCAAAAATGTAGTATTTGTCTCGTTCCACTGGCAGATGACTTTATCTCCAGCAATAAAACAACCTGTCTGCTAGAAATGACCGCGTTTGTGTCTCAAGAGGCCCTCTCCAGTCGCTGGAGTCTGAGTATGAATGTGTGCTTTTCAGCTAGACATTTGTCCATATTTGAGACTCTTATTCTGAAGTAAGAAAAAGGAAGCAGGAAGCAAAAAAAAAAAAGTAATAGAACTTTGCTAATTTAACATAATAGATGCTTGTGCGCCCCAATTCTGATGTTGCCCAGAGCAACTGCCCCAGGCTTCCTATAATCAACACTAAGAATATTTTGGAATATTTTGTACATGCATACTAACATCTTATTGTGGTTCCACCTCACACTCATAAAGTCAGTTTTTGGTGAGAAAAACTGATATTTTTAGGACATTTCCACATAGTCAGTGTAAGATATTTACTTTTTGACTGCCGACTGCGTTACAAAACGAGTCAATATGCTTTATGCTGATGAGTTTTCTATCCTTCTGTTGTGGGTCAAAATGGATTTGGTGACGTCAGCAGCCTTTTGGAAATCTCAGAGTGGAAGAAACAAAAAAAGAAAGATACACAATGAAGAAAGTAAGGAAAAACAAAAAAATTGAAGAATACAAAGAAGGAAGAGCGGCACAAAGGAAGGATGCAAGAACAAAAGGAAGGAGGGAAGGACAAGAATAATAGAAATACAGAAAAATGCAAGGAAGCAGAAGCATAATTTTTTTTAGACAATAGGGTAAAAAAAAAAGTTGATGTAATTTACTTTTCCATACTTGTACAGACCTGGAAAACTGTAAAACCCATTGACGTTTCCAGACTGCGTAGGAACCTAGTTTAAAATTTGTGAGCAATGACATGTGCCAGTGGAACCAGACAGTCTGTATGCTGGGATGAGACGCTTCTCTCCAACAGACTAGAAAAATGCAGCGTCTCTGAAGCAGACATTGTTGCCATCTGACGTGTACAATAGCATTTTTTTCCCCCCAAACTCCGGATATGGGACGCAAAAACATCCATAAATAACACTCGGCAACATGCAGACAGGATGATAAGACGGAGGTGAATTTTTCCACAAATGAAAAGTGGAAGAAAAGGGAAAATTAATGACAGAGGATGGATAAGGAAAAGCTGAAGGAGTGTCTTGGCCAAGAAACGGCCATCAACATCAAAAACATAGATCCTCTAGAAGAAGGCTAAAGCCTCGGAAAACAAAAGTGAATACCTGTTTCATTTTGACATCTCCAGCAGGTGTTGGTTTCTGCAAGGTTTAGATAAAACATTTCACACTAGACACCAGTCACAGAGTAAGGACATGCAACTTAGATCTGTTCATCACAAGACTGCATCAGGAGCTGCCATAAGTGAGTCCATTATGGGACAGGAGGCCTGTCTGATGTCTTTTGCAGAATTTATATATTTTTTAATGGAATTATGGTCAGAAGTTTGCATAAACTAATCAAGAGAATGGACGCAATAAGACTTTCTGCCTTTAACAATTTATTTGAACTGATCTTTCAAATAAATTGAACGACTTGTTGGACAAATTGAAAGACGTCTTGGATTTGCCAATATACACATTAATAGAAAGGCTATTTAAAAAAAAGGGTCTAGGAAGATTTTAGGTTGGAAACTGTATTTAATATGAAAGTTGTCTTTTTTTGTTGTTAATCCTGCTTCTTGGAGAGATTTGCAGATAACAGGAAGGCTAAACAAATCCCAAAGCCATGTCGGTGCAAAGAAGCTCATTTATGGTCAAATATCCTGCCAGAATTAGGCCAAAAGTTTGAAGACAGCTACAAAATGCGTGTGATGGAGGTGAATATGCTCAGAATAGCATACGTGTATATAATCTGTATCCTGGACGGATCCAAAATACCTTCAAACTTAAACGATAATATTAAGCATTAGATTAATAACTGCCCATTGATTAATGCAAGTGAACTTCTTAATAGAGACCCATTTCCCACTTTTTGGGGAGCTCGAAGGGGGGGATAAGAGCAAGCCATGACAAATGATTAAGTCTAGCTGGTTGAAACTTTTACCAACCCGTGGGATATGCTTCCTGTCCGATAATGGAACTCGCTTGCTAACCTGTTAGCTCGTGAGTTTAGCCGCGTCTAAGCCCACCGTTTCTCATCAATTAGCAGCAAAGCGCGCTTACAATCAACAACGAACACGCTGTTCGAGAACATTTAGAATGTCACTGATGTTTGCGCGTCTGGATTTTGACAACTCCGAGCTGGGTTAGCATAACAGAAACGCTCAGGTCGTTCCGTGACCAACAGCATCTAAACGGGAGTTATGACTCAGCGGAAAAATAACCAACTACGAGCAACACGTTTGGCGTTTGCCAAGCCTGGACGCAAGACTTGGGCGCTGACACGGGTGTAATGTCACGGTGGCCTGCGTGGGGCGAGAAATTCATTTCACAGAAGGGCCTTGTGCTTGTTGTAGCAACAGTGTGCTAACAACATTGGAGTTAACGTCAGAACTCCAATGTTCATCTTTACACTTAGTACTTCTGAACACAAGCGACTTGTGTCTCGTAGCATAGAAACGTTTCAACATATCCGAACAGGACTGTTTGCCTTGAAACTCTGTTAACCCTTCAACGTCAATTGCTAAAACGGTAGTCGCGTTAGTGTTTGAGCTACTGCAAGCTAACCCTATCAGCCAGAGCGTAAGCGGAAACTACGCAAATGGACATTCAAAATAAAAGCCGCCGTAAAAGGCATTTTATTTTTACTTTTTATAACGTTTCAAGTCTTCACAGTTGTAAATTGAGCAGTGAACTATTTTTCGCTGTCCTGGTTGCATGACATTTTTATGTCATAACAACCAAAATGCTTTCACAAAAATAAAAATAACACCCATATACACGATGCTCAACTTGCTTTTATTTTTAAAAGAAAAAAAAAACATACCTGATATATTTTATGAATGTTATGATATACTGCTATACTAATTAAAGGTGACACTTTTAAGCATGGCACTGCAAAGAGTTTTAAAACGCAGCACCTGAAATATAGCGTACTGATTATATATACCAAGTATTTGCACATTGATATTACAACAGAATGTACTTTATGCAGTTTTCACATTACGAACACTTTTGACTACAATACTTATGTTTATATCTATGCTACATTTTACGGTGTTTGGCGATTTTGCAAAGAAATAACAATGCTCTCTCAACTACCCTGTACATTTGTATTTCATTTGTCATACAAGTCCTCTACATTTGTCGTGACAAAGAGTATGCGTACTTTATTTTGAACGTCATTACCGGAAACACAACCGTCCATAAGTCCCATTTGACCATGGTGGACAGGAGGGTTAGCCTCAGGGAAGTCACAAGCTACCTTTCCCGACTAAGTTGGCTATCTACGCTGGAGACGGTAAAAGACCGAGAGAGTAGCCATAAGCGCCTACCTTGCATGCTGCTGCTCTGTGTCTGCTGGTGAAGGTGATGCGACGTGGCTCCCAGAATATTGCCGGAGCCCGTGGAGTTGCCGTTCGGACTGGGAGTCGCCATTGTTGTGTTCCGGCGGCAGCCAGCGCTCGGGCTGCAATGCAGAGTGAAACTTCGCCCTCCCCTGGCTGCCCTGCCTCTAGACGGGACACTGCGTCACTTGAACGCAGCAGCCGTACCACGGCCACGTCTGGGCCGCTGCTGCCTTTAAGGACGGTCGAAAATCCTGGTTACCACCCCCTTTTCTGAAACATTGATGTACTCTCTCTGTATAAAATGAACTTCTTTTTGAATAAATGTGGATTCCTTTATTTAAAATTTGCTGTATTAATCTTTTTGTATTCTGGTTTATTTCATCCAAACAGAAGAATGACCAGAGTTTTTCTTTTATTTATGCATATACACTTCATTCAATGTTGCGCTGAACAGTCTTTAAAAAGACTTTTTTTTTCTTTAAAAAGACTGTGCAAGTCGAATCACGATCTCCCAAATACAAGAATAGACTTGCATGGGTTATCAGACAGGAGTCTTTCAGTCTTCTCTGGGTGGATATGTCACAACAAGTGGTAAATCTGCGCTAAATCAGTCTGTTTGGGTTAACTTTATGCAAAACAACACCCAGAATTTTCCTTTTCTTTCAAAATACACATTATGGCACAAGAAGAAAGAAAGTTGAGCGTTAACGTTTTAATTTTTTTTCCAGTATATACCCCTAAACAGGCACGTCAAACTCCAGTCCTCAAGGGCCCCATGTCCTGCAACTTTTAGATGAGCCTCTGCTGCACCACACCTGAATAGAATAATTAGGCAATTAGCAAGGCTCTGGAGAACTGATCTACACAAGGAGGAGGTAACAAAGCCATTTCATTCCAGTGTTTTGTACCTGTGGCATAACGAAAAACTGCAGGACAGCGGCCCTTGAGGACTGGAGTTTGACACCTAAAGTTCTCTAAAGTGTTTGTACCTTCACTGGACCAATTCATTTTGCCACTTTGAAGTTCTGGAAGAACCATTTATAACCTTTGAATTTGTAGGACTGTAGGTTTCCTTGTAAAATTTGAAAATGACATGCATACTTTTGCAAATGTAGTCAGATCAACGAAACTTGCAATAAACTCCAAATATAGTTATTTAATTTTTTTTTACCTCCATCAAGTTACTGAAGCCCACCACTTAAAGTAAATTAATCAATGCCTTAAAGTCACTCTTTTTACACCCTCAAATGTAAAGAAAGGAAATACAAAATGCACACTGTTGATGCACACCATACCCTCACACTCAAAAAAAAAATTATGCAAGCAAATTCAAGTGAATGCATCACACACTGCCTACATTCAATGTAAAACTTATTATGTAAATGTTTTTTTTTATTATAGTCACGAATTTCCAGAGTAAAATCTGAGATCTGCGCTTACGTCAGTGCATAACTACCCATTCGTAGAACCTCAGTTCTGTACAGTGAGATACAAACCAACACCTTCATATATTTCTTTAAAAATAAATTCCTATATTAATAAATGTGCACATTACTTTCGGTTCAAATTTAAGTGCAAGACATTTTGGGAGACGCTGCACGAGTAGCATATTCCTACTTCATTTTTTAGTGTTCTGCTACAAGACGCACATCTCGTCAAGTTAAAGTGACCCAGAAAATCCGTCAGAAAATGTGCGGAACATTTCAATGACGTCATCAGGAAAACAGAAACACCCGGTCCATGACCGTGCCGCTCCCCGTCAGCTCCATCCTGTCCGGGTAGACGGAGACCATGGCGTAGGCGTCGCTGTCGGGCGGGGTCTCGATCACCCCGTCCAGCGTCAGGTGGTGCACGCCTGTGTCCAGGCAGTAGCCGCCGCTGTGGGCGTGGCCAGCCATATAACACACCACGCAGCCGTGGGAGCGAGTGATGGCCAGGAGTTCCTCGTGGTTCCACGCGAGGCAGACATAATCCGTGGAACCGGGGTGCACCGGAATGTGACCTGGGTAAGGAAACGAGAGATAAAACATTTGCAATCACCTGCTACTTGGTTTTTGCTTCCGTGACTTTTCGCGGACCGTATTTTAGCTGGCTTTCAATCTGCCTGAGGAAAAAACAGACTTTTACAAGTTTTTTCTGTTTTTTTTTTTTTAAATTAAATTTCTGAGCAATATGACAAATGGGGAACTGTTATCTAGAACCATCTCTAAATAATTTCTCTCATAAACTATCCCGTTCATCTCCACTTGTATGCAACTTTCAGCTAATACCACTTAAGCCTGGTTCAAATTAAGCTAAAGATAAGCAAAACTGTAACGTAAAAACAGAACTGCCATAACCTCTGGGTGCATAAGCCAGAAACAGGTGTCACTTACTGACGAGAGTAACTTTTTCTTGTCTCTCATCCGCCTCCGACAGCACCGAGTCCAGCCAGTCCAGCTGTTCCTGACTGAACCCGCCGTTGAACATCGTGAACCGACTGTGGCACGGCGACTCTACGAAAAAGCACAGCAAGCGTTGAAGTCCCCAACCACGACCTTCTGAGGATTTGATACAACACACAGCAGCACAGGAGGAAAATGGTGAAAAGTAGCGCATGTAGCAAACGTGTGTAAGAATGCCCCACTGAACTTTGACCTCTATCGCAAAGCGCTGAGGAAAGCTAGCACTGTACACCAGTCTAACAACAAAACACGGTGGTGGCTGCATAATGCTGTGGGAAGGGTTTTCGTCAAGATGGATGGAGCTAAATGCAACATCGGCCATCTTTTCTTTTTTTTTCATCCACTCCATAATTATACACTGCTTTGTGTGAACCTGTCACATAACACACATGGTAAATGACAGATCCGTGAATAGCTTGAGGAGAAATGTCAAACAAATGGTGTCATCGATGCGTTCCTCTGATCTGACCCGTTGTAATGCGCAATCTAACGCGTTACTACTTACAGTACAATAATCAGATTAAAGTTACGTATCCAGGTGACTGTGTGGTATTATATTTGCAATTTTATTTTTTTGTAAACGTGTATTGTTGCTTTCTTCTTTTTCCTTGGGGAGTTACGTTTCATGTGTAACGACCCAAATGATGGAGGGAAAAGAGAGATGCAAATTTTCTCGCTGATGGATGGATTTTTTCACTGACTAATCTAAGTTACTTTTAAGTAACTTTTTCACTTTATCATTTGCCTCCCAATTAGCAACATAAATACCCTGGCAGTACACACACAAGCTAGCTACCAGATTCTTGTGTATTGTATTGACTCAGATGTATTTTATTATTTAAAATGCATGTGATTGAATGGATTCTGCCAGTAAAATGGGATTCTGCAGTTTTAAACTCAGCACAGTCATTTGACAAACAAAAATTAAATCTAGAAAATTTGCTTTGTTCTTCTGGAATTACTCTCTACGGAAGCGCCTTGGTTTCAACACGCCGATATGACACTAGAGTTCCTGTGAACTGTGCAATGCTTGAAAGCTCCGGTGGAGCCAGCTGCACATTGTCAAGAATCAAAACAAACAATCAAAAAACCGGATCATCCTCCTTCCACTTCCTGTCTTCTTCTGGGTTTTCACCAGTAATAACGTCCGGAAGTTGATCGAGTCATGCAGCAAACATCTATTCCAACATGGTTGTAAACTTTTTTTTCTTCTTCCAGATTTTCATGTTTCCATTAAGCGAATTTATGTTTGTAATTTCAATTAACCAGAAAACGTGGAAAGAAAGAAAAAAGTTCAGTTTTAAATAGTTTTGTAAAGAAAGGTAACAGCCTGGCCGTCACTTTTGATGCACATGGTGTTTTTCTCCCGGTACATACCCGGCGGACAGTTGAGATCCTCGTTGTTGTTGTGCAGCTTAATCAGATTCACGGCCTTGCTGTAACGTTCACTGGCCTCTGGTACGCCGAGCAGGCTGACGTCGTAGGCGTCCAGAACAACAAACACAAACCCGGGGAACGGGCTGAACCTGTAGGCGTAGATGTCGCCCTGCTGCGGTCTCCGGTCCGCGTACGGGCTGCTGTCCAGCGGCGACCCCGTCAGCTGGGTCCTGCTGAAGTTATAAAGCTCGTGGTTGCCCCACACGTGGTGCACCGGGACGGGGCAGGAGGCGAAGTCCCGCATCACCGTGTCCAGCGCTCGCTGCGAGGCGCCGCTGGGCTTGTTGAAGCCGTCTATCACGTCCCCGAGCTGGAGGACGAACGCGGGCTTGACAGCCGAGTCTGACCAGCTGTCCAGGGCGTTCCGCAGCAGCTTCAGGCTGCTCCGGTAGTACCGCTTCTTCGTCCGGGAGAAATTGAAACCGTCGTCCATGTCCGCGTACTGAACGTCGGCGATCACGCCGAATGTGAACAGCGGCGCCGGTTGTTGTGAGCAGCGGTCCATGCTGGAGTTCCTGTGCCGAAGAGCGGGACTCCTGCGTCCGCCGACACTGACCTGAGACCCCGCTTCCTGTATCACCTTCACATACCGTTCGGTTTTTCGGATCAGTCCCACGTTATGACACCGCCAGCGCACACTTGACGCCAAGGCTGAGCGCTGCACTTCAGAGTGCGGCTCAACTGAACTACTTCCGGTGCCTCAGTCTTTCAAAATAAAAGCCACATACTCATGGGAACGCATATGTGAACAGCTAGGCACCAAAATACGACAAATATCTCCAGAAAAATGAATTACTCCGCCATGAAATCCTAATTACAATAATTTTGGAACACTTTGTCCCTTTTGACCACTGAAATGCCTCAGTTACAAACACTATTTATTAGCGTTGTCGTGTAAACTAATAACTGAATTACATTGTAAAATTGTATTACTAACCCTTAAAAGTCTAAGAAGAATAGTTCTGTGGTTGTAATTTACATTGTCTAAAAAAAAGAGGACGTTTAATGCATTATTACAATAAATTTACTAATATGTAAGGAGAATGAGAATAAAGTAGAGATGATGTTAGAAGATCTTATAAATACCATATTTATTTATCTATATATAAGATTTCTGTCCAGTATATAAAAAAACAATACTGATTTTAGTTTCCATTCAAACGTTTTATTTCTGAATATTTAATTAGTTGTAGGGGTGGGGTATTGGGGGGGTTGGTAAAATGTTTCTGCTTCAAAATGGCAATTTTGGAAATGTGATTACTGCTGTTCCCCTTCATTTCTCTGTGCAGGGACATTGTCTGTTGTCAGGCTAGTAATATACACAGGAGACCACTTGGGGCCACCATCAGAGGCTATGGTTTCCTCAGGTTGATCCTACAAAGAACAGAGGGAGACACAGACCAATCAAGAAGAAATGCTAGAAAATGGTCCATAACACATTGCAACTTATCTCACACAAATCAGGCAGGAAATTATGACAGCATTCCCGATGGTGTAAACAAGAGCTGCAGTTTTGGAGACAAAATTGTCACACCAAAATCTATGGTATATTTGAAGTGTCATGAGTGCCACCCACACACAGGTGCCAGGTTGAAGAGATATTAAAGTGGTTGTAATGTTATACCTGACTAGCGTGTATGGAACAAATCGCAAGTGTGCCATGAAGCAAAACATGCAATTTGGAGCAAAATGAATAAGTTGGAAAAAAGGATTCCAAAGTTGTAAAAGGTTCAAAAGGTCCACAGCGTGCAACACATATATGTGGCTGAATCATCTACAGCCACATACACACTCCTGTGACTTCTACAGACAGAAGTCACAGGATTGACTCAAGAAGAAGCAGCACCTTCTCCATGGCCTCTGACTTCCCAGAGAAAATGTTTCCACCCTTCTGCTCAGTGTCCACGGGTTGAAGGTTTACAGTTGGCACGATGCTGTGTCAGGTGGCAATGTGTCTGTGTGACAGACACTGTGTGTGCGCGCATTCTTTAATTCTTACAAGCTTACCAGCAGCCAATAAATTCAACATGCGCTTTCAATGATAGGCAAATGCAGGGAGATTGTGTTGATGGCAACTCATTTTTTAAAACTTAAAAAAACATTTATTGCCTCTACAGTACTGATATATTTTATTGATTTCCACAGGTTGAAATAAGTGTTGATTTACCTGATCTGGTTTGAGGTATTCTCCATGTTGCTCACAGCCAATGTCAAAGATATACTTTCCAGGTCCTTGAGGCTGAAAAACATGATTCCATAAATTGGTAAAGACGCCTAATTTATCTAATGGTGTCACTAGTCAACACTACGCAGGGTAAACTAGCAGTTAAGGAAAGAATATTGTTGTATCTATTGCAAATTGGACTGTGGTTTTCACACTTGCAAAACCAAACATTTGGTCACCACTGTACTTCTGAGTGCATCGCTGCACCATTAACAACATTCTCAGTCTACCATGCATATGAAACATGAAACTGGTTGATCGGTTTGTGAATCCAAACTTACAGTGTTCTTGACAAAGTTGCCCTGGTATCTGTGGTTCGTGTAGATGTATTCCCCAGCTGAATTCATATTGCCATTCTCCCATGTGCCCGTGTACTTTGCACCGGTGTCCTTGTAGAGGTAAGTGCCCTGACCATGTCTGGAAATCACACAACACTGATTTCAATCTGGAGAGACTCAAACGGTCCTGTACACTGGTGGTGGAGGTCAGTGAAGGATGGGTGTCTGAAGAGCCAGGAGAGTGGAGGTGGAGAAGAGGCAGAGGTTGCTTGACTACAGCTCGGTCCACCGAGCCGTGGTGTGGCGTGGTTCGATGTAGATAGGTCAATGACGATGATCGAGATGCAGAGTTTTCCAGTTTGAATTTACACCAAGGCTTCATTTTAGATGTTTCAAGTTCATTGTCACTCGTCCAAACTGATAACTGTGTAGGGTTAAAACCTGGTCAAATAAAATTACCCGAACAGTTGGCCATTCTTTTATAAATGGCATCAGTAGAATGTGCTGGACAAATTAGTCTGATCCATGATGCAGCTAGCCAGCACATTAGACTAGGTATACACAGTGTAATTTTTGGCTGATTTTTAACTGTTTTTTCCAAGCATCCAATAATTTTGGGATTGGGACAGATTTTAGCTTGATTCCAGATACAATGCGAAAAAAATTTTGCTTGATTTTTGTACATTTGCACAAAAATCAAGCTTGTAAATTCTGATCACCTTTCCTGTTGAATTAGGGTCATAATCCAAACTTACCTGAACCCCTCAGGTTCAGGTATGTGTTGCATGTGGCAACATTGGAACGCAGATTAAAAGAGTGCTTCTTTTACACTTTCTTACACAGAATAACAACATTAGCCAAGGAAGAATGTTTTGGTCTTTTTTGTTGACCATTCCCTCATTTTTGGATATGCGTCTCCACACTTCTAGGTTTTTGTTCTTCTTCTTCTTTGCATATCTGTATTCAAGAGTCCAACGTGCCGCACCTACAGTGTGAGCAGTCAAGTTGCTTGATGTGAGAACATTAGAACAGGTGTAGAATACAACGGAAAATGTTGTGCAGTGTTTGCCCAGATTTGCAGGATTTATGGGATCTCCTTGTAATCTCTAGGTTCCAGATACCAATGCAGAGCTTGAGCGGTCTAAAGGAGTCCATGCCTCACTGGGACTGCACAGTTTGGACAGCAAAAGGAGGGCCAATACTTTATTGGTAGGTAATACAATTTTATGGCTATTGAGTGCATAAATATACCTCAAATGCTGCAGCCATTCTCCATCATAAGTGTCTCCATTGGGGTAGGTGTAAATGCCATGGCCTTCTCTCTGGTCTTCTACCCAAGTTCCTGTTCGATAAAAGATGGCCACCAGTCACTGTTTGATGTCACAAAGCCCTTTCTTATATAGAAGTGTCCTAAGACAAATATGACCTAGTATATAAGTAAGTATAAAATTTCTGGATTGGAGAAAAACTGCAATAATTGTTCACAGATCCACATGACCGTTGCTTTGTTGCAGTTATATGACGTATAACCAAAAGACCAATTTAACAGAAATAAATGTTAGGCTACTACAAAACCCTATTATTACTTTCAGTCAGAAAAACGTGATCAGTTTTGGGGCTATACACTTAAGTTGTTTTGTAAAACAACTTCAAGGACTTGTTCAATGCAGGAACTTAAAAAAAAAAACCAAGTTGAATTTAAAATTGACAGTTTCTTTGTATTCTGATGTTTAGATATAAGCTTCTCCCCCGAAATATATAAGGACCTGTTACAAACCACAACATTTAAATCTGATATTCCATGCTACTTTTCAGAGATAGTTTATTTTTTGAGAGCAGAGCAAAAAAACAATATTAATAATAATCATTCAAACTGGTCCTAAAGATTTTGTCTATTGATTTCCCGTCAAGGAAAATGGTCCAAAAATCTTCATATCAGTACACTTGTAACTTCAAGAAGGGTATAATAATCATAATGTTGTCTTTCTCATTTCTTTCTCATGATACAACGCAATTAGTTATTGAATTTTATATTGCACACACCACTTTATTGGTGGGCTACTTTGCTTATTCAAGATAGATTTTAAAAGTTAAAGTGGCGTTTTTTGGTTTTTTTTGTGATTTTTTTTAACAATTTGTTCTAAAAGCAGGAGGGCCTCACCTTCATATTTGGATCCATCTGGATAGTAGAACGTTCCCTGTCCATGCTTCTTGTTCTCGACATATTCTCCGACATACCTTGCTCCGTTCCTGAAGCGGTATGTCCCCTGTCGGATAAAACCGTCACAAAAAAGCTTCCAGAAACAACGCAATTTAATCTCCCACCTGCCTCCCCCCAAACAATATCGCAACCCACGGTTCCGTGCCGCTTTCCGTTCTCATAGTATCCTTGGTAGATGTCTCCGTTGGGTAGAAGAGCCTTCCCGAGTCCGTGTCTCTCCCCTATATCGTTTCTCCCTCCTTCATATTCCTGCACCAGTCGGGCGCGCGCGCACGCACACAAAACATAGAGAAAGTCAAGACAACAGCCGGATGCCGAGTCTGTTCGCTCAATGCTAGCTAGCCTTAACTTACAGCTACAATACGGTGCTAACGCAGTGAACGCACGCGTTCGCCTTATCTCACCCCGAGTTTGTTTTGGTCGTCCTCGAAGTCCTCGGAGCTTTCGTCCGACATTGCTCTGGATGTCTTCAAAACCAGCTACTTCGTCTGAGAGGCGATGCAAAGGCTTGAAACCTGGCTTTAAAGAAAAGAAAAAATAATAATAACGGGAACTTTTGTTAGTTTGTCGTTGTCACGACAACCAGCGGTCGCACGTGACGAACTGCGCAGCGCCGATTTCCTGTCTCCGTCTTATTTACCTTTTTTTTTCTCAATGAGAATATTCGATAGGAGTAGGAGTTATGGCTTTTTTTTTTTTTAAAGTAAAGAAAAAACGTTTACGAGGTATTTTTTATTTTTTTGTTTTTGTTTTTATAAATATCCTCGGTGATGACCTGACCAGGGGCCAACCTTGCTCTCACCCGTTTTCCGCACCTGGTGTTTTGCGTTCCCACGTTAACGATGACCCTCACAATATTACCGTGGATTCAGTGCGAGCCCGTTGACAAACTTCCATCACGAAAATGTTGAATTTCCCCTTTCGTCTCGACCTGCACTTTTGCTCGCTCACCAGCAGAGTGCAGCAGAGAGCCTTT